TGTTCAGGGTCTCACTACTAGATTGGACTCGTAGTGATCCGCCTGTTTACAGCCGCCCAAGAGCTGGGATTACAGGCGTGTGCCACCACGCCCAGTCTCAATTGCTGTCTCAGTGTGCCCTGGGGGCAGGGCCAGCAGGGCAGGCCCAGGGATTGAACTCCCAGCCCCTGCTCCTGCTGGTAGGCGCTTTAATCCACTGAGCTATTTGGTGGGCCCAAGAAGAGTTTTGTTTTCAAAAGAGAATTAAACATGTATAAATATCATTTTGCATTGTCTCCCTAGTATAAGAACTCAAAGAGGAATTACATATAGAAAGAACAACACAAATAAAAGGAAAGCGAGAACTTGAGGACTGGACATTGAGGAGTAGGCAAGGAGAAAAGCTGGGAAACATGACAGGGGTAAAGCCATGCATTTGTGCGCATGAGATGGGTGGGGCAGGGATCCTGGGGATATCAGCAGGTTTTTGAGACTAGCGGTTGGCTGGTGGGATTCTCCCCCTGACTAACTGTGTATATGCTGGTGCCTGTGAGCCAGGCGGCTGCACTGAGGATGGCGATGTGTAATAGAGGGGTCATGCTTGGAGTGCCTGCCATCCTGGTCTTCTAAATATGTACTTCTTGTCATGACATACCAATTATTTCCATACTGTCTCTCAAGTAAAGGTTTTTTTTTTTTCTTTAAAAAAGGGTAATTAAAAAAAAAAAAGACACAAGAATAAGAAAAAAAGTGTCACAGGTCTGTCCTATTACAATTCTGTATATGGTTAGATTTCTAAATTTCTTTGTAAAAATAAGTAAATGCTTATTTCTAGTTTTTAAAAATTATTTTTCCTTCATATTCTGTAAGGACTTAAAGTTCAACATATCAATATTTGATGGAAAATACCTGTTCCATGATATGCCAAAGATGTTTGATATTTAAACAGACAGGGTAAACCAAACTGCATATATTTCAGGTTAATAATAAGCTTCTCTTCTGGAGGGTTAACAACCTAACTTAGCAGATCAAAATTGGAGAAAAGGAAGGGGTACAAGGTCAGCCAACATTTTGGCCCTAGCCTTTCCAGGTCAGTGAAGACTCGGGACATAGGAGAACCTGTACTGTAACAACATGTAACTCAGTTGTGCTCCAAATTTTCTGATCAAGGAGATTATGGGGCCACAGAGGAATGTGTTCGATGATGTAAAGTGAGCCTGGGGAGAGTCACATGGAGAGAAAAAACATTCTCTCAGGCTTTCACGGAGAGCAAATTGGTCAAGCAATGGCCGTGACTGATCCTCATGGCTGACACTGACAAAGGATCTACAAAGTGCGGTACAGGGCTACAGGATAAATCCTGAGGGGACTTCACTGACCTTATCAGATACAAAAGTTGCATTTCTTGTTATATAGGTCTTGCTTTATCTTGGTCTTAACCATCCAGCAGAAAAGTATAAAAATGAGGTATATAAAGTAAACCCATATTAATATGATGAGCTGTAAAAGGCTCAAGTCAATAACTTCTGAGGATAACCCACTAATATTATAGACTGCTAGCCAGTGTTGGATTGTTTTGCTGAATTCAAACACCTATAGTATTTAGATTCCAATAGAATACCCACCTCTAACAGGACTAAACAAAAAAAGGATACAAAGGAAAGATCATTTTGTATTTATATATGCAAAATAGTTAGGATAGATATACAGCTACTTTTACTTAATTCAATGAGAAGAAAGAGGTGTACTAACAGTGTTTGGACAGGATATCCTGTCTGCTTCTTGTACTATGGATAACCACTAAGAAGATAACAATGTACAATGTATTGATTATTGAAACTGTCTTATTAATCAGCTTTGAAACTTTCTCATTCATATTTGTTTCTCTTTTTTTTAATTTTTTTTAATTTATTTGAGAGAGAGAGAGAGAGAGAGAGAGAGAGAGAGAGAGAGAGAGAGAGAGTGTGGTGTGTGTGTGTGTGTGGCCAGCTCAGCCCACCAGGGGGCGGGGCTGGCTGGCATGTGGTGCTGGGGGATTGAACCGCGGTCCCTGATGCCTTGCCAAGCTTGTTCTAAGTAGGTGCTTTAGACCACTGAGACATCTCTCCAGCCCATTTGTTTCTCAATAAAATTAAAATTAAAAAAAAGAGAATTAAGGGGCTGAGAAATATAGTTCAGAGGCATAAGCACCTGCCTGCAAGCACAAGGTGCTGAGAGATTCCTGGTATAAAAACAAAAACAAAACAAAACAAAACAACCCTGTCTCAGTTACTTGCTGGGAAAGACTCATGGGCGCTGCCTGAAAACAAAGACACACAGACACTCAATGCAAGCAAAGTGAGGGCTAGAGCAAAAGGCTGCTGCGCCATCTTCAGTCTTTATTTTTATGTATATATAGTCTCAGCCTTTAGATTACTTTCAGTTAACAAAAGCAAACCTTATCCTATGTGCCTAAGATTAATGTTTAAGCTGTACATGACATCCTGCTAGGCGTCTGGGACACAAGGACACAAAACCAGGATGTCCTTGAGGAGTTCCAAGTGTCCTTGGTTGCCCCCTCTGCTGCTACAGTCCTGTTTTCCTACTCCTCACCCGCCCGCCACACCCTGCAGGTCAGTCTGCACATCTCTATTTTAACTCCTT